ACCTCAGCAATACATCTCCATTCTCTCTCTTGTTCTATATAGTCCTCTTTAACTCCCTCCACTGTTTCTAATAAGCTTTCAACTCCTCCTTACACGATCTCTTCCATGTCACCACCAGATGCCAAACTCATTGTTTCTCATTCGGTTCCCAATCGAAACCCAGACTGGAGCATGATATCACTCAGCGATCCCCTCTAGCGTATATTTAGTCTATCTCCATTTCCTTCGACGTATTTGTTGAGTACTAAGTTCTTTATTGGTTTGCCGCTACAGTTTTTGTTTCTAATCCTTAGTATTGGACGACTGAAAGCAGCTGTTGATGTAAAACCGCTGAAAAACCCGTTGGAAATGCTTTTTATGACACGCCAAGTGTCTGAAGTATACAAAAGTACTGATTTCACACTGTTGTTGAACATCTGAATCGTCCTTCTTATGCTCAGTGGCCTGAATCCGCACACCAATTTCAGAGAAGTAAAAGTCTGTCTTTGACATTCACATCTGTGTCACCTGCAGTTGAAGCGATGCTGCCCGGATAAGTGAAAAGGAGACTAATGCCAATTCTACAAGTGTTGACTTATAAGGTCAAGTAGGTTAATAGTTGGTGTCTTCACCTTGTGAATAGTGAGTCTAGTGCTCTTTTATTTTCAAGGATTTTCTAACTGTTTATAAGGTCTACAGTGAAATAAAATGTATACATGTCTTCTCTTGGTTTTGAACTTGCATGTAAGCTGTATCGTCACGTGAATAACATTACTGGATAACAATGGTGCAGTTTAAAACTCTTGTTTGAGCGAAAATTAGGTTTTGTAACAGTTTGTGTTACTCTAACACTTCTTCAAAATAAACCCAAGAATATTACGTCCTATCTCTTGTATTTATGCCACTGGAAAAATTGATTGTGAGGACAAATACTCGCCTAAGACACTGGCTAGTGGTCGCGCTGTGCCGTGAATTGGTAGAAGTTGGAATTCATGGGTTGGCCATTGGATCGGGCCCCAGTGGCCTAATGGTCTACAAGTTAGCTCGCCTTGTAACCAAAAGGTACGGGGTTCGAACCCTGGCGGTGGTTGCGTCCTGCTGAAGAGTCTCGAAATAGGCTGATGAAACCACTGTCAAGTACTTCCAGGTTTCAAAATGGTTTTCTAACCGATGTCAATTCATGGTGAACTCCTGAGACCAGTCGAATCCCTGTAATCCGGCACTTGAACTTCGAGACTGACTTCTTGAGAAAAATATTTTTTCATTCGTGATCATATAGCAGATTCTCTTTTTTCATTACTCCAGTATGTCCTAACGGGTTATTATTGTGTGACCTTGAAGAATACTTAAAATTGTATCTTGTCCTCCGCAGTGCCTTTGAAAACGCCTTAAGAGGCTAGAATTTACATTTCGGAAGTTGTTCTTCCAGCTTTTTTAGGCAAGCTTACTCCCCACGGGTGTCGGTGGCGCAGCGGTAGAATGCTCGCCGACCACTCATGTGGTTCGGGGTTCGGTTCACGGCTGACGCACTCCTTTACCTCGCTAAGCCAATATTAAGACTGGTAAATAGGGAAGGTTGGGCATGAAGCTAGCAACTCCATCCTGTAAAAATAAACCCTGCTACATAAACTTTGAGCCTCTAGTTTGAAGCTCTATTTTCCACTGGGAACGTGAAGGAATAAAATAAATGATAAAAAATCAAAAAAATTATTACCCATGGGAGATATGATAACAACATTATGCCAATACAGATACTACTTGGATATTTAAGAGGTTGAACGCTGTACGAAGTCAGATTCAGGTAAATTTTGAGGTGATAAAGATGGAATTTGATTCATGAGATGGTCGATTTATATCAAATCTAACTGCATAGGCCAATTCTAATTTATTAAAACTTATTAAAATACTGAAGTGCCACAGAAGTCACTTAATACTGGATTTCACTCTATGCTTTATGCAGGAAATACATCACAATGTGAAACTGTAGGCAAGGAAATAGTATAATAATGGGTCTTTTATTAACGAAACTTATTATGCTACGAATAGAACGGGCACATCTGAAGAATGAGCCATTCTACATATAATTACATGGCTGAAAACAGCCAGGATGCCTTCAAAAACAGCTTTACTTCTAAACCTTTTCAAGCATAATCACCAAAAAACTGTTTCAATTCACAGTAAATACATCAAAGATATGGATAATAAAACTGACCGTACATCAGACAACTTCCAGAAACTGTCAGAGACTTAATCAAAAATAAGCAAATTTAAACACGCTCTGTGTATTCAAAAACCAGTAATTAACACTAGGTCTTCTTTTGTGTAATTTTCCACCCTGAGTCCAAGCGCTCAACCTCAATATCATAAGGAGGTTGAAATTGCACAGAAATAATAAATTATGGTGTACGCAATGAATCTAAGGGGTCACTGTAGGTTTAAATAACGGCAGCCAAATTCTGTCAGTCAACCTGGAGTCAGCCATTTAGGAACATTTTAATTGGATACTTTATGTTCACCAGACAACATTATTTATTTATTTATAGATGTATTTTTAATGTCCTGCAATTTCGTCTAATAATCCTATATAACTACGTAAAAAAATGGGAACATTTCCATCATATTATCAATCAAAAGATTGTTCAAACACATGTCTGATGACAGAAATTCAGGGATGGTGATTAATCACTGGTCAGAATAATATTAATAGTTCTGTGTATTGGATAAACATCACATTTGAAATTCACTCTTCCACTAAATTCATACAAAATATGCAAAACAAAGTTATCAGGATCATACGTAAAGGAAATTTAATTATTAGGGGTTATATGTAACACTGACAGCCATCGAAAAAATAATTCAGAGGTATTGGATTATAAGATTTGTGTGGATTTCGGATTAATTTCGGTTGTTAGATTTCCATCACGAATCCACATCATTCAGAGAGTGTTGTTAAAGTTAGAATCCACGGGTCATTAAATTCCAGTGCAAGAGGTTGAACGGTCAGCGGTTTTCGTCTCGTAACACGAAGGTCCCGTGTCCGACCCCCGCTGATGAGGTCGTGAGCGAAAACTGATGAAGAGTAGCCAAAATAGGGTGAAACAACTGTCCAGGGCTCCCTGGTCTTCAGTAATCTCTCCGAATGATGCTAGTTTGTGGTGAAGATCTAACAGTTAAAATTCACAGGGTCTTTTAGTATTTTTGCACAGTACCCAAGACGTTCCTTGAATAAAATACTGTCTGTTTTTATAATATTTGCATTACTTTTGTTAGTTAGCCTTTTCAAGAGTTGGTTTGTAAGGATTAAATTTGTTCCTACAAGTTTGACCATGGATTGATATCAGTTAGATAACCATTGAAAACCAGCACTACAGTACTGACAGACAGCCTTCTGGTCAATCTAGTTTGGGAGTCATCAGCAGTACGCACTCACCACAGGGGTTCGAACCCAAGACAGCTCGGTTACAAGGCAAGCTGGCTCTTATACCATTCAGCTACTGGGACACAATTCCTCAATGGCCGCCCATGAATTCTAACTTCTACCAATTCGTGATTTAGCGCAACCATCAACCAGTGTCATCGGTGGGAAATCCATCCTCACACTTGACTTGATGGACCTCTCTGGTCACGACTTCTCACTAGAACTCCAGGAAACTCTATCCTGTAACAAGTCACTAGCGGGCATCAGATTAATTTTCAATAGTTGGTTTATAAGGGTTACTTTTGTTTTTACGAGTTCCACCGCGGATTGGTATCAGTTAGAGAACCATTGAAAACCAGTACTGAAGTATTGGAAAGCTGTTTCATCCTATTTTAGGGTTCAAACCCCAATGGGCGCGTACTGCCAATGATTCCCAAACTAGTTAGCTTTTCCACAATTTTTTTTCAAAGCACAGAAGAGAAAAAACTGAGAGAGAAAAGTAGTTTAGGATAAAGTTAAATTTATAAAAAATGAGAGATGGATCACAATATTTAACATTTGGAGAGGAGAAAATAACTATATTTGCTTGACTACGCTTTCCTCTGTATATTCGTTTCTTAACTCTGATATCTTTTAAATTTTATACACAAACTAACCAAGACTCAAATGTCTCCTAATATCTTTACTTTGCAGACACAAAATATGATAATGTATCTAAATTCTGATAATAGGATTGATTTTTAAATGTAACAAATTTTGCTAACTTTCCTGTCCAAATTTTAGCTAAGTATATTAGTCTGAATTAACTAACTGTCAGGGATTAATAATTTGCTTGAAAGAAACAGTGTACGTAAGTTTCTGTGCACAAAAGAATGATGAAGTTACTGAACACACTTAGGCTTCAAATTATTTTGGAATTCAAGATATATCCGTATTATCAAATTCTATCAATACAAGCAGCTTGTTAATATTCTGGTTGACAGGCAAATGGACTCATGTGAAAAATGGACCAGATCCATTTTATCTAACCCACACCACCGTCTTTACTCACAACTCTCCCCTTGCATATCATCAGGTAAAACTAGAAGCCTATATAGAAAACTACATGCTCGCACCAGCAAGTACAAAAACTCAACCATACCCTACTCAGCTCGTGTTCTGTGCGATAAAGAAAGCATTAGGTGTAATACCTATAACTTATTAAGTAGTCAGTAGAACAACTGCATCTCGTCTTTCCAACTCATATCATTTATAGGTACAACGTTTTCTTTCTTTCTTTTACTTTTCTCCTTCTCTTTTTTCTGTTATGTGCTGCTTTGTTTCTTTCTCTCGCTTACGCCAGTAAATATGACAGCTACTACGTTTCTAACACCTTCAAACACTCTGTTCAGCTTCACCTTTGCTACTGACATGCCATTGTGTTGTTGTAATAATGAAGTGAGATTTCCTTAATCTATGCAGAATTCTATTTATTGATAATGTACTAACTGGATGCAATACTGTAGTAAAAAAACTGAGAATTCCATTCTGTATCACAAGTACTGTTTTGGAATAAAGCAAATTATTATTATTAATATTACTTCTCTTTTTTCGGTGACTACAGGCTTCTTATTCATTCTGTTGATCAAAAAACTCCAATTGCTATTGGTTTCACTGTAGAAGTACAAGACTGGTTTGAAAGTGTAAAACGAGACAAGTCTTTTCAGCATAATCATCGTGTTCGTCTGCGTATCCTGCCTCCAGTTCAATCGCCCAGTAATAGTCAAACAATAGAAGTATGGCCGGCTAGACCAGCTAATTCACTAGATTATCGATGGAAACTTTCCAGTGCTATTGATCAATTTCTTCGACCTAACTGCCCTCCACCGTGTAATCCAGATGTGGGAATATGGCAAATAACACAACAGAGTAAGTTACTGACTAGAAGTTCAAACTGAGTTCAAACACCAGATATAGAAAAATAACATTTGTATTTATGTAGACAATGTTACAATAAAGAGGGCAGCTTTAATCTGGTTAATGCGACCCATTCAAATTAACATAAAAATTTTCAAATATTGGTTCTGTAGAGAAATTTGTTTGATTGCTTGGAGGATTTCTTCATGAGCTGACATCAGTTAGAGAACCATTGGAAAACCTGCAAGGAGTACTGGACAGTTGTTTCGCCAGCCTGGTTTGGGACTCTTCATCAGTACTCACTCACCGCCTAGGTTGAAACCCACGACCTTCTGGTAACAAGGCCAGCCAGCTCGTAGACCAGTAAGCCACCAGGATCCTGTATAGTAGGGCGCAGTAGGTCGGGTGTGAGAACAAATACTCTCTGAAGATATTGGCTAGCTGTCGCGTTATGTCGTGAATTGGCAGAAGTTGGAATTCATGGACTGGCCATTGGATTGGCGTGTCCCAGTCTACTAGCTTGCTGGCCTTGTAACCAGAAGGTCGTGGTTTCGAACCCCCTTGTGGTGGGTGCGTACTGCTGAACAGCCAGTTTCAAACTAGGCTCACGAAACAGCTGTCCAGTACTCCCTGAAGGTTTTCCAATGGTTCTGAAACTGATGTCAGCTCATGATGGAATCCTGTAAAGGGATTATTACAATCAGTGATCAGAAATGAACATTTTTGGTGTGTATATATTGGCAATTAATGAATTGTTACAGTTAGTGAACATAACTCTTTCCACCAAAAATGCACTCTTAAACTCAGTCACAGAAGTAAAGCATTGCATTATTTCACTAAGTATCTTTAGTGTACAAAATATGGTCACGAAAATGGTGCATTAAAACGTACACCAGTATACATGGATTGACTTCCGATTCAAATCAGTGCTGTGTGTTCATTGCCATAATTTATCGGGGGTTTTATTACTTTCTTTTAAAGTGGCATACTTCAAAACTGGAAAATATTATTTTGCTGTGTGAATGGGATCTCCTTCTCCAAATTTGGTTAAAATAGTAATGCCATTTGTCCAAGGTTTATGAGTACTTTTTTGTGCATATTTCTGTTAATGCTCAAATATTTTTTAAAGAAAGATTTGTCTGCTGAATTCACGCTGAAGTATTTATGCATGTAATTTACTCTTATTATCCAGATGTAAACAGTCTTTCTGTTACATGGGCCCAACTTTCACTTCTCCTGGAACAAGGAAAACAATCACCCTCTAAATCAGAAGAAATGATGCCCACATGTCCATGGGATAAATTTGACTACTTACAGAATCTACTTATTTTTGCACCGACACTAGTATCAGCTCAAAAAAATCTAGGTCTTGTCACCGGTTTGGCTAATGACGGCCAACTGTATTTATCGCCTTGGTCAGCACCTTCAAATGCTTTCAGAGCTCATATAGAATCATCTGGACTTGGTATAGTTGAAGCTGCTGTAGTCGATCGTATGGGTGGTTGTGCTCGACACTCGAAATTTGATGATTCAGATATTACCGGTCAATCATTCCAAAACAAGCACGCTTCCTTTACAAACTTTGAAAGTGAAAAGATTATGAATTTCACTGTGTTTACTGGTAAGTAGACAAAACAAATATCAAATTATTCATTACACTTATTCCCCCTTATGAATTTAAATAAAGCGAAAATAAATGTTAGTGTAGAATAACATGAGGTCAACACTTATTTCATTGGTTTCTCTTCAGCTGCGTACAACTTAAAAGGCAATTGTGTATATGTACAGAGAAATTTCAGCATACAACGCTTGAAATATGGAAGCCATCAAGGATCCACTCGCTAGAAATCCACTTTGAATGACATACACTTAAATTTCAACAGTTTCTCTCCTATTTGAGATACATGAACATTTGACAGAACTGCTTCACAAAACCAGAAGAATACGCTTCACTGAAAAGCTAGAAGAAGGACATCTGTACCTTGAGAAAATTTTGAGAAACGATAGTTAACCTTCGAAATTCATCAAGTACGAAGAATTTGAAGATCTCAATGTAAAATAAACAACAGCAAATAAGAAACCTATTTCTATTCATTCAAATTTTATAGGCGATAATACTGCAGGAATAATCAAAAGAAGATTGGTCATTTTTCTGTCCAAGAACTGTCCGGCAGTCAACCTGGTTTCTGTTTATCAAATACCATACTCTCTGGTGCAGGCAAAGGTGAACAGTTGTGTAAATGAATTTAAATGTATTTATGGGAGAATTCACACTGATAAAATGGACAGAAGAGCACTCCTTCGATTCTCTTAACATGCACTAAAAAGCTTAAATCTCAAGGTAGCAGATGTCTTCAATAGTGTCACTACGAGGCATCTTGTTGATATCAGTCGTAAGGTGGATGCCGTGAAATCCTTCAAAATTATTAACAGAAAACATAAGTCATCTTTACTCAAATTTGCGGAAGCAGTCGCTTACAAACTTCTAAAACCTACCTGATTTATATGTCCAGAAAGATTCACTTATCCGTCTTTCCTTGGACTGGTAACTCAGCTCCTAATAATCACTTCCTCAAATTTAATTACACGATTCTTTCGCTTTACTCCTGCGGCTATTTCTGCTGCAAATTCCTCTAGTTTATTCCTTTTTTTGTTTCTATGACATGATTTGAACTATTACTCACCATTATTATTATTGTTCCCTTGGGTTCCTAGTGGAACATAGGGATTCAGCTGCACGCCTCCACATGCTTCTGTCTTCTGCTGTACTTTTCACCTGCATCCATGTTAATCCATACTGTTTCAATTCCTCTTCACACGATCTCCTCCATGTCACCCTTGCACTGACGTCCCACTCGCCGCTTCCCTTTCCCGTTCCACTCGAGCACTGGCCTGACGCGCGATGTCACACAGTGGCCTCCTCAGCGAGTGTCCAATCCATCTCCACTTTCTCCTGCATATTTGTTGAGCAATTGGTTCTTGTTTTGTTTGTTTGTTCCCATAGTTTCTCGTTGGTGATTCCTTCCGGCCATCTGATCTTCAGTATAGGGTGAAGACAGCTGTTGATAAAGGTCTGCAACAGACTGTTGGAAATATTATTTGTGACGCGCCGCCAAGTTTCTGATCCATCCGTATAGAAGAACTGACTGACTTGACGTTTGTATTGAAAATCCGAATCACTTTGTTGTTGATGCAGGCTGAGTGACAGTGGAAGATTTCCAGATTGGTTTCAGGTTGATGAATGTGTTTCTCGCCTTCCTGATTCTCGATTTGACATCGTCGTCCGTTCCTCGTGTAGTTGAGACGATGCTCCCTAGATAAGTGAATAAAGTAATCTCTTTCAAATTACTCACAATTACGCAACTGATTAGTTACTTATCACCAACTCCTTCTTATCTTATTTGTGCAACTCAGTTTTCAATGTATTTTATCAACAATTTAACCTCTTTGCGTAAATTATATAAGTGTGACTTCTGAGCACTGTTTGTTAACTTTGTGCTTGTGTTAACAAAAATTCATATGACCCTTGTAAGTATGCTAAAATCTCTCTCTACACATCCTCCAGCGGGGGAAGATAAGCGATTTTCTTACAGAATGTTTAATTGATGTTTGATATAAGACATACAGGGGAATTATGTACACGTTATCTTCAAATCGTCATTTGGAAAGATCTTCCGTGTTGTACTACTTATAGTTTTCTTTATCTTCTTTTCGTGTCTCTCATGTTTTGCCGTAACACTGGTTTATTTTCTGCCTTCGGTGACAAGTCTATCGCTCCGCTATTAGATATTTTTATGCTGATGGACGCCTTTTTATATACTACTGATAAATCTTATCAGTAGCACACACCACACTCGATTCCCACCAGATAGTTCCGAACAGAGCGACTCCAACCTTCTTAGTTCTACCCGTTCATGCTGTACCTTGATCCCGGCTTCCTTATCCTACAGAATCCATTTCTGCAGTCGGCTGACGTTAACTCGTTTCCGCTGATTTCCTCTTCTGATAGTATAAACGAGACCATTCCATATTAGTTTGTTTATTAGGTATATCACACAGTGAAACAGTATTATTTACTGGATGACGTTTCGAACAAAATTTATTGTTCATAATCATATCAATTGTGATCACACGACTTTGACACTTGAGTTTTATAGTTTTCTTTGTTCTCTCCTATTTGTCGTATGGGTAGTAGAATTTTCCCCTAAAAATCCACTCGAAATCTAGACTAACTAATTCTTATGAACTCAAACACAGATTAGATAATTTAAAATGAGATAATGAAGAAAAAATGGTTAGTTTTGACATTGTCAGTTTATACACACGTTTACCTATAAATATGGCTATGGAGGCAGTCAGAAACGAACTCATTTCTGACCAGGAACTCGAACTTAGGACAAAAGTGCCACTTGAGGACATAATGCTGGGAGTACAGCCATGCCTGACTTCCACAGTATTTAAATTTCAAGGAAAAATATACAAACAAACTGAGGGAGTTGCCATGGGATCACCAATATCCCCGGTTGTAGCAGATATATTAATGGATAAGTGGGAAAGTATAGCGATTGAGACTTTCACCCCCACCCGAAAAGTATGGTGGAGGTACGTAGATGACACATTCACTCTACTTAGAACACAAGATATAGATAGGTTTTTCGAACACATCAACTCGAAGGTTGAAGCAATTCAATTCACTTATGAATTGGAAAATCAGGAAGGGGAGCTCCCAATGTCAGATTGCAACGTAAAGAGGAAAGAAGATGGGAAGTTAAACACTAGTGTTTACAGGAAACCCACACATTCAAACAGATATTTGGACTTCAGATCATCCCATTCTATGTCAGTGAAAATAGGATTGGTGAAATGTTTAAATGACAGAGCACCAAAACTAAGTAGTACCAAAGAAAATCTAAAACAGGAACTGATACACATAAAAGAAGCTTTGAAACTTATTAATTACCCGGATAAATTAGTCAGGAAATATGTAAGGAAATGTAAAAATAAAATAAATAATGATAGTAGCGATAGTGATAATAACAATAGTAATGATAATGATAATAGTGATAATATTAATAATAATATTAATGACGACACCAACAATAAAGAATCTAAATCATCAATAGTAATTCCATACAAGGAAAGTACCTCGGAAGCCTTACGCGGAATTCTTAACAAAGCAGGGATAAAAATGGCATTCAAACCCACAAACTCAATTAGAAACAAGCTTTGTCGGTTAAAGAATCCTGTGGAGCCTTTAACACAAAACAATTTAGTTTATCTCATACCCTGCCGGAATGATTGTCAGGTCAAATAAATAGGTCAAACTAGTAGAACAGGGGCAGTCAGACTAGCTGAACATAAAAACTTAGCAAAATCTAGACTGGTTGATCCGAATAAAATAAGAAATCTAGAGAATAGTTCAGCTATAGCACTACATGCAGTCACACACGACCATACAATAGGATGGGATAGGATGACAGTTTAAAAATCTAATGTCACAGGATGGAGGGACAGATTGATAACAGAAGCTTTGTTTATCGAATCAACTGCAAATACATGTAATAGGAATGATTCATCACATTTCCCCGATATCTGGAAAATTCTACTACCCATACGACAAATAGGAGAGAACAAAGAAAACTATAAAACTCAAGTGTCAAAGTCGTGTGATCACAATTGATATGATTATGAACAATAAATTTTGTTCGAAACGTCATCCAGTAAATAATACTGTTTCACTGTGTGATATACCTAATAAACAAACTAATATGGAATTACTTGCTACCACAGTGCTCAAGTTTTACACAGATATAAACGAGACCATGTCTCTTGGTGACAGTGCATATCATATTTCCCTGCTTCCATCTTCTATTTATGCTCTGCATTCCTGACGGCTTCTTTTCGTTCCGTTATCAACCTCGTCATACTCGATATTTATGCTACTGAGCTACACCACACAGTTACAAATGTCATTTTGTTTGTTTATCAGTTCTTTTGCTCAGTTAAGCTTTAAGCTTTGAAGAGTACTCAACAACAAAAAAACAGTTCCGACAAAACATCATGATAAAAAGTATGAGCTGATGACATTCTTTCTACATGAATTCACCAACTGCTAGTAAATTACTAATTCGGTGATGCATATAAATTTGTATTCAGTTGCTGTAAAACTTCATTGAATCGATATTCATGACGATTCATGTGTGAAAAGATTCACTGATACTAAAGTACTGGTCATCAAGTTTACTTGATCATATGCAAGTTTTGTTCATCAAATGATAACTGAATACGGATAACTTCATCTAAAACCCTCAATAAGAATTGATAAGTCAACATCAACCCTGGGGTATTATGTAATTTCAGCATTCATCAACTTGAACTTGTGCTCCATTAGAGTAAACAAAGGATATAATATACATAAACAATAGTTTACAAAAAAAAATAATTTTTAATAGAAAGTAAGCTTTTTAAACAAACGCGCGATTCCCTAATCTGTATACATGTGCTGTATTTTCAATTATAGGTGAAGGTTTTCGACGGAAAATAGTAGACGATAAGATAATGGCCAATATGTCACGAGCAAGTGTTCATCTTTATGATATGGGTAAGCTTCAGAGTTTAGATGAATTATATTATATATAACAGCAATCGCTTATTATTATTATTATTAAGGAGATAATAAGTAAATGCAGAAAAAATCTACAAGTCTTAGTTAAGATTGCAAGTAAACAATGTAACTTTGCAATTAAGAAACATTCATTTTCACATAAAGGAATTAGTGTTTTGGTGAACTGGAAGGAATCTGGAACAACAGTTGCATGATATTTTGGGTGGTGTTAACACTGTGGTTACCAGGATGCAAAGAATTAAAAACGAAACCACTGTAGATAAATACCACCAATAGAATGAGAATCCCGTCACAACATCCTGATTCGTGAAGAACAGAACCGTCAGCTGAATAGTCTTCAGAACTGGGAGAAAAATACAACTCTCATGACACAGATATAGTCCTTATAGAAAAATCTGTAAACAGATCATAGACTTTTTTACCAGTTGATCACGGATTGATATCAGTTAGAGAACCACTGAAAACCAGGGAGTACTGGACAGCCGTTATATCCTAGTTTGGGAGTCATCAACAGTACGTACCCACTGGAGTTCGAACCCAGGACCTTTCTGTTACAAGGTAAGCAATCTGGTATACCATTCCGCCACTGGGACCTGATTCCTCAACGGCCAGCCCATGAATTCTAACTTCTACCAATTCGTGATGCATTTAGCGCGATCCCAACCCTTTCAAACCAACTATAGAAAATTAATCTGTTGCTCGCTAGTGGCTTGCTACAGGACGGAGTTTCCTGGAGTTCTAATAAGAAGTCGTGACCAATGAGGTTCAACCAGGCAAGTGTGAGGATGGATGTCCCACCGACTATGACTTATGAAAAAAGCTGTTGTATCTACCTTTCTGACTAACTTTGATTATTTTATAAAAACCTACAGATCAAAAGGGCTGAATATGATTCTATACTACGCTAATGAATAAATCACTAGACTGGTTCTCATGTTTATCGATTAAAACAACAGTAGTGCTTTCAAAAGGTATTTAATTCACTTTTCAATCATACTTCCCTCTAGGTGGTAGACAAATTGGTTCATCACATTGGATAGGACTGGAAAAGGATAAGTCAACTATATTTGGAATTATTATTGGCAACTCTGTACAACCTTCAAGTCACAGATTTCAGTGAGTTAGTTATTTTAATTGTTACATAGCTATTGGTCATAATTTTATGCTATTTGGTGAAATACGTTATATGATATTTCAGAAAATAAGTGTTTTCAGCTCAGAATACATTTAGAAAGTGCTGAATTCATTGAATTCACGTTTGACGTATTCCTGAAAACTTGTTTAATCAAATCACTTGATACAAAAAATTACTTTCACGGTCATCATGTTTAACTCTATATTAATGCATACGACTGAGATGAACATTTGCTTATTACGCATTACAGTTCCTTGCAGTACCATAATTTCACTCGGTTGGAGATAGTAATATTTAGTTGTTAAATGACAAGAGTATTAATTCATTTCCCTTAGCATAAAATATTATTTTGTTATTGCTTTTGATATGAAATTCTATTTAAGAAATATTTCCCTTTAAATGATACACATTTCTTTGGCTAAGAAACGACACAATCAGGAAGGAATTAAGCCTCTTGGTTTAGAATGTTATTATATTATTATTGTTTCCTTTAGTTACTAGAGGAACATAGAGCTTCAGCCGCATGTCTCCATAGCGTTCGATTCTCCGCCAACCTTTTCACCTGGCTTTACGTCTCCCCAAATTATTTCATCTCCTCTTCGCATCAACTCCTCCATGTCATCCTCGAAATGACGACCAACTCGCCATTTCCCATTCGGGTTCCACTCCAGAGGTGACCTGGCGTGTCATGTCACTCACTTGATGGTTTGTTTGCTCAGAGTATGGACTCCATTCCACCTCAATTTCTTCCTGCATATTCGTTGCACTATCAGTTCCTGTCATTGTCAGAGATCCCTGTTGCGGTCGTTTTCTGGCCAGCCATCTGATTTTGAATAATATTGAGCGAAGACAGTTGTTGATGAAGGTTTATAGTATGTTCAAAATGCCCTCCATGGCGCGCAGTGCAAGTCTCTGATCCTTATTGTAAGTAGCAATAACTTCACATTGCAGATGAAAATCCGGATGTTATTTTTCATGCTGAGCGCTGTTGATCTCCACACAGACTTGACGTTAGTAATAAAAGCTTGCCTTCCTTTCGCAATCCTCAATTTGATGATATCCTCATCAGTTCTGTCCGCCTATAGTTGAAACGATGGTTCCCAGGTAGATAAAGGAGGTTGCAGCTTTAGAATGTGCAGACTATTTTTTTTATTGATAAAATGCAATTAAATCCCATTCTTCCCCCTCCCACAAACTTGTAGCATGATGCTGAATTTCCGTATGGTGCTAAGTAACATGAGTAAAATTCAGATATTCTGCTTCACATACGTCTGTACTGACAAATACCTTTCAAAATGTCCCGGTCTGAGAATATAGGGTGAAAAAGATTCTATTTCTTACAATAAAGCATTTCAGTGTCGTATATAACTTTCCACCCATCAATCCAGAGATGAACACCTTGTTTTCATACACAATAGTTCTAACTAGAATAAAGAACATTTTAAGTCTTTCTATAACAAAAATCTTCACAGGGTAAACAGATGGATTACAACACACAACTTTTGGAAATTTCACTGCTGGTAATCTCATGTATTATTATTTATTATTGTTCCCTTGGGTTCCTAGTGGAACATAGGGCTTCAACTGCACGTCTCCACTTGCTTCTGTCTTCTGCTCTACTTTTCACCTGCATCCATGTTAGTCCATACTCTTTCAACTCCTCTTCACACGATCTCCTCCATGTCACCCTTGCACCGACAAACCACTCGCCGATTCCCTTTCGAGTTCCACTCGAGCACTCGCCTGACGCGCGATGTCACCCAACGGCCTCCTCAGCGAGTGTCCAGTCCATCTCCACTTTCTCCTGCATATTTGTTGGGCGATTGGTTCTTGTTTTGTTCGTTCCCATAGTTTCTTGTTGGTTCTTGTTCTTTCCGGCCATCTGATCTTCAGTATAGAGCGAAAACAGCTGTTGAAAGAGGTGTGCAACAGGCTGTTCGAAATATTCTTTGTGACACACTGGCCAAGTTTCTGATCCATCCGTATAGAAGAAGTGACTGACTTGACGTTTGTATTGAAAATCCGAATCATTTTGTTGTTGATGCAGGCTGAGTGACAGTGGAAGATTTCCAGATTGGTTTCAGGTTGATGAATGTGTTTCTCGCCTTCCCGATTCTCGATTTGACATCGTCGTCCGTTCCTGTCTCCTGTAGTTGAGACAATGCTCCCTAGATAAGTGAAGTGAATGAAGTAACCTCTTTCAAATCCCTCTCGTTGATGGTGATTGGCGCTGGATGTTGCTGCTGCTGTTGTTGTTGTTGGTTGGTCGGTTGGTTATTTTCATAACCTCCATCTTGTCTATGTTCACCTCGAGTCCTGTCTTCTCTGGCTGCTTCTTCGACCAGTTTGTCGGTTTTCGCTTGTAAGTCTTCGATTTTGTGTGACATCAAACATAAATCATCCACGCGCGAAATCCAGGTCTTCTGGATTCTTCACGTCGGTCCAGGATATCCCTGTCTTCTCGTTTCCCACTGTCTGACACATAATGCAGTCCACCACAATTAGGAATATCATTGGTGATAATAAGCACCCTTGTCTGACTCCTGTGTTTACTCCAAAAGCCTCGTTGAGTTTTCCGTTGTGGATGACTTGACATGTGCCGTTGTCGTACAGCTGTTGAATAAGGTTGATGAATATTTGGGGTACGCCGTAGTACTCGAGTAGTTTCCAAATTACTTCGCGGTCAACGCTGTCGAAGGCCTTCTCAAAGTCTATGAAGGAAGTTGAGGGAGAGGTTTGATCGCCATTCCATGCTTTGTTCGATGATGATGCGTAGAGCTGCAATTTGGTCAGAACATGATTTGCCTTTTCTCGCCTAGATTACTAGATCGCTAGCTTTCTAGCCGGTCCCAAGCCCGGATAAAGAGGGAGGGTTGGGGCATGGTGCTAGCAACTCCACCCCCAAAACTTAACCAAATTGCTACAGAAACTTCAACACATAAATATATTAGGAATCTCATATATAAATGTATATATTCCTTTGAGTTCTCCATACCTTAAAAGAGATGACGCAATAACATATCAACTCAATCTTACACTGCATTGAATACAAGTGGATAGCTGTGTGTTTCAAACCATCTAGTTAACCCCATAAAAGCCCATAATAAACTTATTTGTTTACAGTAACCTAAAAATGCTGAGGGAATGACAATTAGAAATTCAACAACCCTATTCACTGAGGCTATTTAAAACAATCGTCACACTGTTGTTAACCGCTTATTCTACTGGATCAACTACGATACACTGAATCTAACTTTCATCTCCCAACTTTATGTGGATTTGATTAGTTTCAGGATAGAGTGGATCACAAACCAACATTAGAATTAGAAAACCGTGGAAACCAAGGTACACTACTAAACAGCTGTTTCTTCACAGCTTGCTTGTGACAGCATTTTAAGCAAAACATTATTTTATTTATAAACTCTGTTTAAAAGAGCAATTATCTAATTTCGTTTATTTGATCGAAAAAAATCTTCTCCCTAACACACATTTTTCTCCCCTCATTACGCAATAAATGCATAGAATGACGGTCAAATTAATCACCAGTCTTGATGGAAGTATTTAAAAAAAGATAACAAAGCATTAAGCCTTATGAAGAAACATCGTTTGAACAAAACATACAATAGACTAAACAACACTCCTGATTTAGCATGATAAAAAAAGAAACTAAGAAAATTAATCAAAACATTCGAAGTCTACTCATCACACGGCTTGATTTCCTTAGACTTAAAACAAGGTGTATCGTGGTAGGTTCAGTGTATGCAAACACGTTATTTCTGAATAAATGAATAAGGCCTTAAAATTAATACAATAGTTATTTCGTAAAACCAACCAGGAACCGATTGTGAAACAAATATGCAGAAGGAAATGGAGATGGATTGGCCATACTCTAAGGAAACCGTCAAGTGACATCACTAGACAAGCCCTTGAGTGGAACCCGAAAGGGAAGCGGCGAGTTGGTCGTCAGTGAGAGGATGGGTGACTTGGAGGAGGTCATGTGAAGAGGAGATGAAAACGTGTGGACAGACTTGGGGCCAGGTGAAGACTGTAGCAGAGAACCGAACTCAATGGAGACGCACGGCTGAAGCCCTATGTTCCTCTAGGAATTAAAGGATACAATAATAATAATAAATGTCTCTTATTTAGGTTTTTGGATTTACAGGGGCTTTGACTAATTTCATAGTAGATTTCAACACTGACTAACATCAGTTAACGAATTAGTGAACGCTGGAGAGTAGTATTGTGGTGAGAGCTGTCTGTAAGCCAAAATTGTAAACAACAATTTACCTCTATGTATACGTCCCAAATCGGGTTCATGAGAGAAGACAAAAACAAAGCCTAACCTTGAGGAACTCAACAATCAGTCACAGCAGACTCAGTGTCGGTGGATACGATTCGCAAATATATCACCGGACTGTCTAAGAAACGGCAACAAAGAGATGACAGAATAACCTTCAGCAGGAAAACAACTAATCAGAAGACGTTGCTTCTCTGCTAACAATAACGCTAATGATAATGTACAGGGAAATCTATAAATATCTCTTGGTTTTCTCAATAAACCATCTGTTGCCTGACCCTTGTCTTCTGTCGTTATAGTATTATTTTTTTTAGTTTGCAACTCTTTACGAATATCTATCAACGGTTCTACTAGAATTCGAACCCAAAAGTTTCATGCTACTAAGTGAGTCGTTTAGTGATTCCTCCACTGAGCTAGAACCCATAAAATGTGAATTCTAACCCTTATTAATTTGTTATTCTGTTGACGATGTCAGTTAGTGACTAAGTTTACACTAGAATCCAAAATCTCTCTCTAGCAGTCTCGATGAAGTGACTTTTCTTGGGTTAATTGTACTTAGAATTCCATAAAAACGTTTGTGATTTAGGTAGGCACAACTCTTAGCCTTTCCATCTACATTATACTCCAAGTGTGAATACCTCTATTAATCCTCAAAAATGTTAAGTTATGATATTGGATGGTTGGAGGCAATCGGAAAGAAGCCTTGCGACACCTAGGTTTCATGCTAGTTGGCACTCACCAGTCAGCAAGGTGTATCTGCAGCCTCGAAGGAACTCATGTCCCTTCTGAGAATCGAACCCGCGACACCAAGTGAGTACTGCAGTCAGAGACGTTACCACTGAGCTAGCTATTCAGGCCCGCGGCTGACCTCCTGTAGGACTGTATTGGATACTTTGATACTCTGAGTTCCTTCAAGGTTGCAGATACGCCTTGCTGATTGGTGAGTGCCAATTAGCACGAAACCTAGGTGAAGTAAGGCTTCCTGTGGCCGATTGCCTCCAACTATCTAATATCATCAAATCAATATGCACCGTGATGACAAGCTACCTAGTGGCATGGTGGCCACATTACAAACCTGACTGATAGAATTCAGTCTGCACCAAACAGCAAGGACTAGATGAATAACACCAATTACTAGTGTCCAATCAAATGTTAAGTTATATTGAATCCATATGAAAGGAGATAGAGAAATATTCATTGGTATATTATGCCGTTTGAAACAGGAAAATATCACACTACTTGGTCTAATTAGATGAAATTGCAATGTCCGGTACATATTTTCATTATCATGAATCTCATTAACCGAAAGTTATTCACTGCCTTACACACTTGGAATAAACTCAAAACCTACATGAAAGGAAAGGGAATGTTTTTCACACCCAAAATAAATATCGTTTGAATTCTATAAACTTCTCTTTATTGTTTGAATATGTTGTTATTATTGATTTAATTACTATAGGAACGACTTAGCAGGATTTCCACTTTATTAAGTATAAATAATCTTTGTTATTAATTATAGTTATGTGTTTATGAAATGAAATTTATTGAAATATTTGTGAAATTTCCGTTTTTCTTTTTTCTTTTACTGCTTTTCTCTTCCTTCCTTTTAGCATAACTGATAATCCAGAAAAGAATATAGGCGTTCAATTTTCTATATATGTGGCTGGATCTAACCCTCAATTGCCGTCAACATTTAATCATCGTGTAGTAATGCACTTCAGTGCAGATCAAAATCGTCCATGGACTGGGGGACATAGTCTAGTGGATAGATGGATTTTAATCTCAGCTTTAGATGATTACCTTAGACCTCATTGTATGGGAAGTATGATATGCCGAAATGATATGGATATTATTCTGCTTACATTAAATTATCATGGTAGGCAATATATATTTGTCATTTCTTTTTTTTTTGCATTACTGTCGACATTTGCATAAAATAAAGAAGTTGTTTATAATGGTGGGCTAACTGTGGGCTTTAGAAGTAAATGGAACCCCTAGAATCCATTAATCGTGAGAACAGACGACCTAGCTCCTCTATTCCGAAACATATTACAGAGACAGGACGTAAGATTGGAGTTTACATGTTTCTTAAACCTATCTATAGAACGTGTTTGGACGACGGCGGATCCTAAAGTTTGTGGAAGCCCTAGCTAGCAGTTAGGAAGTTCAAACCACCTTTATGCGTTGAAAGCAACAATTCGTCATCATACTAAACCTTCCTTGGTAAACTGTGTTTCTATACCAGGACAGATGTATTATTACCTCCTTTCTTTGGTTTAGTGATCACTGTTATTTTGATCATCAACATGTCCTTTTAACTTGACCTACATCTATTTTCTCACCCCTTAATGCTTTATTATTTTCACATATATTCCTACGACAAGTACATGTGTTATCTAATAACATTTTGATAAAAAACCAAAGCAAAACACATGAAATAAGTAAGGTAGATCAAAAATAACCATTCAGAAGTGAACATTCATTATTGCCCCGTATCTCATATTTAATTGATTCTAGGCAACATAAATGGCTTCTTTTTTCGATTTTTTTTTCGATTACAGCTTGATTCCACACCGTATTTTTTGGTACAAGTATGGAATTTTCAGCATGTGATATCGGTAGCCTAAATTTTGTAGGCCAACCATAGATATCAGGTGTGCGTCGGCAGGGGATCGAACCCCGGACCATGTACATGATCGGCGAGAGTCCTAACCACTGTGCCGCCGATGCGTGTAAAGTGTCTAGTCCTATCTTTAGTCAAGCTGGACTGATAGCATTCAGTCTGCACCGAAGCATGGAACTAGACACTTTACTCTAGTTACTGACTAGTGTCCAATTAAAAATATCCAATACAGTACTACAGGAGGTCAATCGCAAGCCCGAATAGCTGGTTCGAATCTCAGAAGGGACATCAGTTCCTTGGAGGTTGCAGATACGCCTTGCTGGCTGGTGAGTGCCAACTAGCACGAAACCTAGGTCGAAGGCTTCTTGCCGATTGCCTCCAACCATCTAATACCAATAAATGACTTTATCAAGATATTTGAGTGAACAGAATACAGTCTTTCACATCAGTTGATTATTGAAAAGTAACTATCAAGGCAACAGGGGAGTATTCACAATGTTGCATCGTATTCAGACATAGAATAATTAATGCTAAATTTCATCACTCTGTTAACTAGCCTTCATAATTTTACATATCTAATCTATTGAAAATTGTAGTTCAGCTTACTGGACGCTTAGTTAAGTATACAAATCAGGAAAGAAATTACTGATACTTTCTGAGAAGTAAATATGACGAAGACTCTGAAGTAGCCAAGTTTTTGTTGTTGTCAGTGAATGACAACTTTTATCTGAAAGGGCTAGCTGAATAGGTCTCTATCAGGTGGTTTAACTGTATCTCAGTATAGCGGAAATCCCTATTAAAATACTTAAGGGACGAAAGGTGTGAGAGAAGATATATTTAATTTCAGTTAGATCTTCATATATTATTCTACTCTTATACATGTATATATATACCGATTTTCTAGAAACTTTAATATATATATATACGTCACTTTTAATAAAGTACGGAAATTAACCAATCTAGAAATAATAAGTCCTTTACAGTGATTAGTCTATATTCGATTGTCAAGAGGGTAATCACTAAACAAGTAAATAATGAAACAGTTAGATGGTGGAAATATTCTTAAAAATTAATCCCGAGCGTTGCATAGGGATTTAACAGAGGTTACCTCCTTCACTTATCTAAGAAGCATCGTCTCAACTACAGGCGGAATGGATGAAGGTGTCATAGACAGCCAGAATCGAGAAGGCAAGATATGCCTTCATCACTCTGAAACCAGTCTGGAAATCTACTGCACTCCATGGCATTAAGAACAAGATTTAGATTCTGTTCAACACAAATGTGAAGTCAGTCACTCAATGCTGCTATACGGGTCAGCAACTTGAACTGCATGTGAGTCACGAAAAGCATTTCCAACAAGTTACAAACTTTTATCCATAGCTACCATCTTCACTGGCTGGCTTCATACTGAAGATCAAATGGCCACCTGGCAGGCAGGCCGGCTGGCTGGTCAGAAAGAATAAGTAACAAGAAACCCTGGCTGGCTGGCTGGCGATGAACAAACCAACTGAGCAGGAGCCGATTGCTTATCAACAATTATGTGGGGGAAAATGGAGATGGATCGGGAATACGCCAATGAGGAGACCGTTGAATGACATCACGCACAATACAGGCCATCGCTCGAGTGTAATACAGATAGGAAGCGACGAGTGGGTCGTTGGTACGAAAGTAACATGGAGGAAATTGTGTGGCGAAGAGATGAGAGATTATGGTCAGTCGTGGACTCAGATGAAGAGGACGGGAGAAGATAGGACAAAGTGGAGATGTATTGTTGAAGCCCTATGTTCTACTCAGAACTCTAGGGAATAATAATAATATTAATTAGTGCGTTATTATACAAAGAAGAGGAGTGTGTGGTGACTCCGCTTTCGAAATAATCAAGTAAATAACTAACATAGATGAAGCTAAAATAATAAGACAGAAGACTGGTAACCTATAAATGACTTAGAGGAAGTGGAAAACTGTTAGTTTTCTACATTAACTAATTAATGGCCACTATAAGATAAATGGATATATGAACTTTTCCGAACACACGTTTGGCTTCGTCAGATAGATTCCGATAGCTTCAGCTCTATGTAGAAGACGAACTTGTAAAGCGAAATTTCAATTGGGAGGAGTACAATAAACAACTTTAAATTCCATGTTAACGCCAACTTTATGCTCAGTACCTACAAAGTGTACTACAACCGAGCTACGAATAGAACTATTAGATACGTCCATTCTCCAATTTCTGAACATCATCCCTCATCGTTAGGTGAGGAAGATAGCATATACATATATATGTCACAGTAGTGGCGTAGATGAGTAGCTAACTGAAAATTGAAAATTTCTTCGTTCAGCCCTTTTTCCTTTTAACTATATTCTACACCATTTAATCTATTCAGTATTTAGGCTAAAAATTAAATTATTTAATTCAAGTAGTAACATAATTTCCCAATAAGTTTTATGGCAGTGAGTAGGATAAGTAAATGAAAATGACTTTTATCAACCAGTAGTGCTTCTTATTGAGATGAAAGTAATCTAAATACAATACAATACAATACATCTACCTTCAGAGTGATATACCTGGGCTGACTTAGCCCATACAACTGATTCATTTAAACTGTCCCCAATCCGGCTAGCTGTTATTATACAGTATTGTCCTGTCATTTTAATTACAATAATAACAGCTTTATTCTGAGAAATGCATTTTTTGCACAATTCAGAATTTTTATCAAGCTTCTTACTGTGAGGTATTTATTTACTACTTGTGCAGAATCTTGAAGTAATAGGATAAATGACAGTACATCAACTAAAGCGGTATTATTTATCCAATTGATCCTTCAATGATCCACAATCCCTCTCCTTCATTTCCTTCAGAAAATTTAAAAATGTACCTGAGTAAACATTGCAGTTCTTGAACATAAGTATATGATAAAACACTATGAAACTGAGTAAATATGGTGCATTTAGCTGGGTAGTAAATTTAAGCAGCGCAGAGATTTAAGCAGGCCGCCAAAAAATATATCAAATGGAATATTTAAAACAACCGAATTTATAATTTTTCTTTGAAATGGTTCTAGAAGAAAGAAATGTTCGTAGACTTTTCATTTTCTAACACTTCAACCAGAAAAATGAAATTAACTAAATGATGACAGACTAATGGTTAGTCTTTTTTTTTCCCTTCGCGTTCCCCAGTGATACATAGGGCTTCAAGATAGTGGCTTGAAGTTTCTGTAGCAGTGTTTATTTTTACAGGATGGGGTTGCTAGCCTCATGCCAAGCCTTTCCTCTTCACCAGAATTATTTCTGGCTTAGTGAGGTAAACGAGTGCGTCGAACCTCGGATTATGTGCGTGGTTGGCAAGCGTCCTAACCGCTATGCCATCGACTCACTATGGTTGGTCTATATGACCCTAATTTCCATAGTTTTTAGTCTCAAAGGTAAAAGGGTATTTTTACTGGGTATCATCTATTTTCAAAGTGTCTAAAGCCTTTTACCAACCAAGTGATTTCAAGTATTTAAACTATAGAATGCATATTTTTATACATTATATCAGGAAGTATACATCTTTAAGTGGATAAAAATCCAAGAATCAAATAGGATTCTCCTTCCTGTATATGTGTCCGTGTTTATGTGTATATGTGTGGAGGAATGTCGCATTTTCAATGATATTTTCAATAATACTTGTTCAACTGCTCAGTGTTATAATAATCAAAAGTGAATAAAATCTTTATAGTAGGAAATAAGTGTTCATATGTCGGTAACTTTATGTTTCACCTACCCTAGAGAAGCATGCAGTCTAACTCCTAAGTTATTCTTTAATGCATGAAACTATATACTACCGACTAATTTATTGATTGATTGAAATAAATAGTTGCAGATGACTCACATTAACCAGGAGTGTTTGCTAACCAGGTCGAAGCGTTGCAAATACTGGATAACTGTTCCTTTTGTGTGATTTGAATAATCTCCGTTTCCGAAAGAAGTTATGCTGAAAGGATCACCTCGAATTCTGTAAATTGCGACAGGGCCAGGAAGTTATGTTCGCCTACCTAACAAGGTAGAAGAAGAATTAAGCTTTTTTGAATAATGCCTTAAGGAAAACGGGTATCCAAAAGGATTTATCCTGAAATACAGCAAAGAGCGATTTGAGAAAGAGAAGCATGCAACGGTTGTAAAGCAGAAAGTGTTCATTCGCCTCCCATACAAAAGAGAGACAGTATCACAAAAGATTGAAAAGAGAATGAAAGAAGCAATAAAAAGATGCTTTCCTGCAGCTAAGCTGGTGACACTATACAGCACTACATGCTCTATAAGCCAATCGAAAATGGATAAGTACCCTGCTGATGTTACCTCAAACTGCATTTATAAATTTACTTGCACTTGTGGCAGAAGGAAATTGGAAGGACAGAAAGAATTGCTTCTATCCGGTTTTCATAGCATATTCCAAGAAACTTATGCTTAAAAGGAAGCAGATATTTACAAAGTGCAATTACTAGACAAACACCTTGTGGATACGGGTCAATCCTTCAAAATATTAAACATACAAAGGACAGCGAATCTACTACGATTTGCCGAAGCGATTGCAATCAAACGTCTCAATTCAAACTTATGCACACAGAAAGAGAGAGTGCAGTCAATCTCTCACTCCATTGATAACCGTATTACTTTCATTACACTGATTAGTCAAACGCACTAGTGAGTACAGCTCACTAAGCAAGTTTTCGATTTGATGAACTTTAACCTTCTTGAGTTACCATGTTGACGTACAAGCTGACACTGTTTATTAGATTTTTCTGTTTTCTGTCTTCTCTCACTCCGGTACCTTTCTCATAGTTTGATAGTGTATAAATTGATAGTAACTTAAGCTAAAAATTGTAAAACTTACATTCCGTATGCATTCATCTTATAATATTTTCTCTATTACCTTTCAAACATTGAAGTATGAAATGTTTTTATTTATAATTATTATAATTTCGGGTAGTTTGCAGTAAGCTGATGAGAACCTGTGAAATAGAATGATGATATCATTTCATACTGCGAATCTAGTCTTTTTTTCTCTATCGAAATTGCCAACTGATTTGCACATTGTGAATCTAATTTAAGTTATTCTCAGGTTTAATCTTTTTTTAATGCACATCGCCTTGATAATATTTCTTGGAAATGCATTCAAATATCTTACTGAACAGAGCGTTAACAACATCTGCAGTAGGAAAAGAAAAAAGGAGTTCAATTTATTTCTTGGGTCTCTTGTCAACTGCATATAACCTGGATAATCAAAATAAACAGTTAAATCACAATTTTAACGTACTTTAACACACTGGAGAAATGAAACTGCCAAGAAATGTTTTAAGGATGGTGATAACATTCTATATTAGTTTGTTCATTGGATACATCATCCTGTCAATCAGCACCAATTATTGGATGAATTTTCAGACACAAGTTAATACGGAATTACATACTATCAGTGTCCAGAGTTTAGAAGAATTCTTGTTAACTGGTTAAAAATGCCCGTTAAATTTTTTTCAAAAGAATGGTTACTGAACAAAGAATATTCTTTTCAGTAACTTCATCATCAGATCCTAAAGTTAGATATACATAATAGTGATTGAATTAGTGTTATTGACAACACTAATGTAGTTTAAGTAACATCTAATCAATAATAATATCAGTGGATTACAGTTGAATAGCATCACCATGACAATACACTGAATATCAGAAAAATTAGGAAAGATAATATTACAAATTCATGAATCTGTATTCTCCACAGAAGGCGGGCCACGGCAGTAGTAGTGGCTGGCTGGACTTGCTTGTTTTACACACCAAGCACTGGTTGTTACAAGCTAATTGCGGTAGCCTCTGCTGTTTGCAGCATGCGGTACCTCGATGCTTTTGGGAATCTATTTGGTACCCGGTAGATGATAGCGAAAGATTCTTCAATGCTGACTGGCTTTGTTGCCGGTTTGAACCAAGTGGTCTAATATAGAACTGCTGATGGTTCAGGCCGGCCACAAAGCCAACCAGCATTGAAGAATCCTTCTCTGTCATCTACCGGGTGCCAAATAAATTACCAAACACATTCAGGTACCGAAGACTCCAAACAGCTGAGGCTATCACAACTCGCCTTAAACAACGGGTGTTATGTGTACAGAAGAAGCAGCTCCTGCTGCTACTACTACTTCCCTGGCCCGCCTTCTGTGCAGACTACAGATCCATGGATTTTTATTATTATCTTTCCTAATTTTTCTGATATTCAGTTTATTGTCATGATGATGCTATTGAACTGCAATCCACTGATATTATTATTGATTAGATGTTACTTACTATTATTATTTCCTTTAATTCTTAGAGGAACATACGGCTTCAGCCATGCGTCTCCATCGCGTTCGGTTCTCTGCTACAGTCTTCACCTGGATCCAAGTCTACCCACACGTTTTCATCTCCTCTTCACATAAACTCCTCCAAGTCACCCACCCTCACACTGACGACCAACTCGCCACTTCCCATTCGGTTGGGTTCCACTCAAGCAATGGCTTGTCTAGTGATGTCACTCCTTGATGCATTGTTTCCTCAGAGTATGGCCAGCCAATCCATCTCCATTTCTTCCTGTCTATTTGTTTCACAATCGGTTCCTGGTTGGTTGGTTCGCTCATTCCCAGAGATCTCTGTTGCTGATCTTTTCTGGCTGGCCATCTGATCTTGAGAGGAGTATTGAGCGAAGACAACTGTTATTGAAGGTCTGTAGTTTGTTTGAGATGCTCTTTATGACGCGCAGTGCAAGTCTCTGATTCGTATAGTAGCACTGACTGACTTCACATTGGAGTTGAAAATCCGGATATTATTTTTGATGCTGAGTGCTGTTGACCTCCACACAGACTTGAGAGTAGTGAAAGCTTGTCTTGCTTTTCCGATTCCTGCTTTGATATCCTCGTCAGTTCCGTCCGCCTGTAGTTGAGACGATGCTTCCCAGGTAGGTAGGTGAAGGAGGTTGTTTCTTTCAGGTTCCTTCCATTTATGCTGATTGTTGTCTGTTGTTGTTGTTGCTGTTACTTAAACAACATTAATGTTGTTAATAACACTAATTCAATCACTATTATGTACATATAACTTTAGGATCTGATGATGAATTTATCGAAAAGAATTCTTATCAACTAAATGAGAAACTGAGCTAAAATAATACAGTTATACATGTCACTCAAATATTCGAATATGCCAGTAAAATGTTAGCATTCAAGTTCTCTAAGTCAAACTTCAACATGTTTGTGAAATATATTCGGAAATTTACTCTGTGTTAGACGAGTGTAATGCCAAAATACTATTTGAGCAATAATGCTGATATTTTTACCGTTTATTTCGACTGTCCTAAATCATTTGTTTGCTTTTATGTTCTTTTCCCTTCATGCCAGCATCTGGATTTTCTGTAATATGGGCTCAAAAATCAGTGCTTATTCTTTCTGGAAGTGTAAATACAAACAAAACAGCAGAAATTGTCGATTCATACACTCAACAAGAATACTGGAATCAATGGTCTAAAAATATTCATCAAAATGTAAAAAGGAGCATTGACTACACTGAGACTATTTCACTATCAAATGAAAATTTTACATGTGAAGATTGTAAATCTCTAAATTTGTCTACTTCACCTATTAATTCACATTTTAAACCTTCAAATAAAATGCAAAAAAGTCATCATAGAAATAAACGTACATTATTTTCTACAACAGATTGTCCTGAAAGAGAAATAGCTAAATTAGAAAATCGTTTACTTGTTGAAATAAGAAAAGATTTACAACATCCATCGTTGAATTTTGTCAAACACTTGAAAGAAGCTGGTGTTGGTCAACTAGATGAAATACAGATTGAACGCCTTGGTCCTTGTGCTCGAATACAACGTAGGTGTAAAGTATTTTAATTAGTTTTATTCATATATATATGTATATTGTGATGGAGAAGGTTCGTTACTCAGGAGAATGCTCCTTGATATTATTGTATTTTGTGAGTTGGTCGGTTTAATAGTAAGACTTCCATTACATTCCTGGACAACATTTTCACTGTTAACTTTAACGTGAAATTCCTACTGAAATCATCTAGCTGGGAGAATATGACAAAACCAGACATACTTTCACTTATGACTGCTTTGAGTGGACGCCAGTTAGCAATTAGTGTCATGCGTCTAGTGGATTAATGGTTTACGAGCTCGCCTTGTAACCAGAAGCTCCTGGGTTCGAACCTCCTGTGGTGGGCGCGTACTGATAAAGAGTCCCAAACTAGGACGAAACAGCTGTCCAGTACTCCCAGCTGGTTTTCCAATGGTTCTCTAACCAATGTCAGTTCATGATGAAATCCTGTAACCAATATTTTATTTCTTTGACATTTATTATTTAGAACTCGGGTTATGAATCAAAGTTTACATTTTGATGTTTTTTACGTTCACAGAATCTCTACCAATTTTCATACCTGTGCCTGGATTAGAAAGTACTCGAGAAGCTTTTGTTCCAAACTATGGAAAAACAGGAGGATATGATGAGTCTCTTCACTACATGCCATCTTCATCATCATCATCGTCGTCGTCGTTGTTTTCATCATCCTCATCACTGTCGTCTTCTATATCTGACAGTCAAGAAGCAAACCGGCACAGAATGATTTTACTCGGGACTTTGCTACCAGTATGCATTTTACTTATTATAGTCTTATTAGGCATACTGGGATTTGTATGGTATCGAAAACGTGGTAAATCTTGTACAAATGGATTGACTTCTCATCCATCGTCTATAATAAATAGTGGTCATAGTGTTGTTAATCCAGAAACTGAGAAAATGTTAACAACAATGAGCAGTCCAAAGAAATCGACAAGTAATGGTCGTCAAGCGAAAATCATAAACACAGGTAAGTGCTTTAATCGATCTTGACGCTTTCCTTTTATAATTGTGCTTATATTTGTACAACGGAAATTATATGAATGTGATTTCTGCTCAAGTCACAGAATTAATTTTTTTCCTTCACGTCCCCCAGTGGGACATAGGGCTTCAAGCTAGTGGTTTGAAGTTTCTGTAGCAGTGGTGATTATCTTTACAGGATGGGGTTGCTAGCCTCATGCCCAACCTTTACTCTTCACCAGCATTATTTCTAGCTTAGCGAGGTAAAGGAGTGCGTCTGTGGCCGGGGATCGAACCCCAGACCATGTGCATGGTCGGCGAGCGTCCTAACCGCTATGCCACCGACGCACGCGTGTAATTAATACTTTAGATAAATGAATAAGTGCATAAATTATTGTAACAGAAAATAAACTGATAAAACATTAGATAACTGTTTTGCAATTAATAGTGTTCTCTGAGCTGGTTGGTTTAGTTATGGAGCTTTCGTCGTCCTTCTGGACAACATTCCCCTTCAGCGTAATGTTTAACGTAAAGTGAAATGATTTAAATTTCTTCACGAGTGATATAATCGCGTACGTCTCCCGGTAACCATCTTTACATATGTATTGACCATTTTCTATTGACTTGGATTTTAATCTTTCTGGTCACCTGATTTAATTTTTATTAGTTGGTATATTTCGTCTATACTAACGTGTTTGTTAATTGCATTTTCGTTTGAGTACCAGGCTTCTAGGAATTCCCTGGCTGCACTTTCGGTTTTTCCTCTGTCTAAGATTTCGACATTGTCTCAATCAAATTGATGTCCATAATTGTCTATATGCATTGATACTAAAGAATATATATCGTGTCTTTTCACGGCTGATTTGTGTTCTTGGATTCTAATTCGAAGAGGACGCTCCGCAACCAGACCAAGCAGCTCAGAGAACACTATTAATTGCAAATCATCCATCCATCTGAGCTACGAATCTTCTCTATTATTAGATAACTGTATTTAGTGTTGTTACTTTCTCTGAGATGGATAGTTTAACCGAGAAACTTTGATTGCCCTTTTTGTACAGTATCTTCAGCTCTAACTTCTATGTGAAATGAGTTCAACTCAAAGGACACGACAATATCAAGCATATTTAACGGAGCTATAAGTCTCGCTCATGAAAACTGTCCTTAGTGGTTTAGTCAGCCTACTTCATGTAAATAATATTATCATCTTTTATTCCCAATAAATGGTCTTCATTTATCTATCTCTCCATTAATTGTCTTTCGTAGTCTGGTTCTTTGTGTCTTTTCTCTCTGTGGTAAATACTTTTCTGGTTAGATGTAAGCTAATAGTACTTCCTCAGGAAGAGTGACATAATATATTTCTTATTTCCGTGAATAGACAACACCGAGATAATTTGAAAGTCACTAGAACTCAAACCATGTACTACATTTTATACAGAGGTACTTAAACCACAGTTGTCACACTACGACTTGCACTCAAATTCATAAATCATTGCTTCACACAAAATCTCATCCATCAAACTACTTATATACATATATATATGCTTTTAGGTTAGACCACGGATTGATATCAGTTAGAGAACCATTGAAAATCGGGAAGTACTGGACAACTGTTTCATCCTAGTTTTCTGGGAATCATTGGCAGTACGCACCCATTGGGTTTCTTTAACTGATATCAATTGGTGGTCTAACTTGATTAAATAGAATCTCTACAAACCAATTCTTGAAAATAATTCTAGTGTTCGCTAGTTACTGGCTACAAGACTAATTTGTCTGGAGTTCTAATGAGAAGTTGTGACGAGTGGGGTCCATCCAGTCGGCAGTGTTGATGGAGCTCCCGCCGATGACACTGGTTGGTGATCGTGCTAAATCACAAATTGGTAGAAAGTAGAAATCATGGGCTGGCCATTGAGGAGTCGGGTTCCAGTGACTGAATGGTTCACGAGATTGCTTGCCTTGTAACCGGAAGGTACTGGGTTCGAAACGTGGTGGTGGATGGGTGCTGCCGATGAGTCTCAAACTAGGACGAAAAAACCGTCCAGTACTCACCGGTTTTCAATGGTTCTCCAACTGATATCAACCCTTGGTCTAACCTAAAAAAACTAGAATCCCTGAAAGTAAATTCTGGGAAATATATAACTGCATTTATTAAAGGTTATTCTTACACTAGATTTGAATTTGTAGACACAGTTGCTGTTCCATGACGATTCATCTAAGCTGATTCTATGTGTAAAAAATTAATAACTCTCAACTAACAAAATACAGTCAAACAAAGTATGAACAGCAAGCCTTCTAATTTGAAGAATCTATACACTTAATTGAATTTTAGATTTTCCCGTCGATCGATTGGACCGAAGTGCTCGTTCTCAGGTTGACATGTCGGCTTCTTGTGCAGATGCTTCGACAATGTCTGGACATGCAATTAGAATTTAATTGGTGGTCTAGTGGATAACGCTTGGCCTTTGAAACTATGGGCACTGGGTCCGAGCCTCGGTGGGAACATCATCACTCACTGGGAAATGCAGGTACATCCAGCTGGCGGACGAGTCCCAAATAGGACGAAATGCGCATCCTGGATTCCACTGCTAGTCACCATCCACCAATTAAAATCTATACACTTGTTTGAATTATGTAAATGAATTCATCTTAGGTGATGATGTTTATACACATACTGAAAATAGTTGAATGGTAATCATTTTTATTTTCTCAGTAAAAACTGACTGCTTTACACTTCATTCCACCTCAGCTTAGATAAATATACTGATAAACAGATCTCAAGTTAAAATCATACGCTTGTTAACTGTGCTTCTAGTTCAGGACGATTTGCTGACCACGTCAACGTAACTACACTTCCAGAAAAATAACTTTAAAGTGATTATGGACATTTTTAAGACCTAAAAACTTACAAATTATATCAGATATTCTTTAGACTCATCGTTTAGAAGGGAGTACTTACCACACAAGTGGATTTTACATGCAAACGCCTAAATGAAAAAGAACTGTAAATCTAGGTTTTTCATTTATTACCAATCAACAGAACTTCAACTGGAACGTGTGTTATGGAATGCTGCAGTCAATGATGTTGTCTAAAATAACGTAGATATTTTTTCTGACTAATAAAAGTCAATCTGAACGAAGAATATTCTTTTCAATAATTTCTCCTCTTCAGGTTCTTACAATTATAAAATATAATATTTGTTGTCGTTACAATAAAGGCGAGTTATGCGGCAGATACCTTTTTTTAACGTAGAATAACAGATTAGTTATGGGGTGTCAAAATAAATAGTCGTATTTGTGTGACAAACGTGCTAGGCTGAATTCGATTACAAAATATTGTAAAACGGGAGACCATGGTGATTAATCATAATAGATTTGTAGAGTGTGGGGTAGGAAAATTGACAAGTCAGTTCAAGGTTATAAAAGGTGTCAGGTAAGTGGCTAGTACAAAGTAGTCTGTGTTAAACAGGAGATAGTAAGGCTGCAATGGGAGGTTCATAATGGGATAACGAATATGTGAAATGAAACAGGTGGAGGCATATATTGAGAAAAGAGATAATATCACTAATAATAAGTCCGGATAGTATAAACAAAAAAATTCGATAGTATTGAGAGAATGTTTGCAAGAAGGGCATAAAATTATGACGAATAATAATAATTGTAATAATAAGCAAAGGTAAAAAAACCAAGAGGGTTAAGGGGAAGGAGCACTCTTGGTGAGAAGAAGAATCATCAATCCAAGTTTGGCCACGGTAGGAACAGCGTCTGGACGTGTTCTCTTTGGATACAAAGTTCCGGTTTAGTCGATCTTATTGCAACAGCTTCAGCTATGTGTAGGAGACCTAAGCGAACTGTACGTGATAACGACTTCGGAATTCGGTATATAACCCTGAAAGCTGTGTTAATATCGATATGATGTCCAGTATCGACCAAGTGTGACAGGATCGAGCTTTTTATGCACTTAATTTCCCCCTGAAGAGAAATTATTGAAAAGAATATCCTTCGTTCAGATTGACTTTTAATTCATAATATGGGAATTTTCCACACTATCAAATCTTTTCTGACTATTCCATCAAGTGACATGATTCAAATGAATGTAGAGTGTTCTTTGATTAACTGTTAATTTTCCTCAAATCACAATAACTACGAACGTTTGTTTCTTATCTTAATACAGGCAATATGAACAGTGGAAATTTTGCAAATTCTTCTTCTCAAAAAGGTTATGCCTCTCCTAAACAGCCTATGATTCTAACCAATGAAAGACCGCCTTTCAAACCACCTGACTATAATCCTGGTTTTACAGATTCAACAGATAGACTACCTATGACTAATTTATCTCAATCACAAATGAATAATTTACAGCAAATATCACTTCAAAATACTAATGAAGCAATAACACCTGGTATGATGGATACAAGAAATCAACCGAAAGCAAATTATGCTCTACGACCTAACCCGTATAGAAATCTGCCGCCACCAATTGAAACAAAGCCTGGAATGCCATCACCTGCATCACAAATACCCTATGCACCATATCGCAAGTTTATGACAATCCCTAATCCCTCTGTTGATCAGAATCGATAGGATTCAATTGAAACAAAAAAGAAAAAGAGGATATTTCCTACCTTCTTAGAAAAAAGTGTAACATAATATTGAAAAATCTTTTTCAATTACCTGATCCTTTTGTCTTCATATATATTCGTTTACCTGATTACTTGTTTATAAGCCTCTTCTCCATGTCTTATTTCTTTTATGAAAATAAAAAGTATTATTTACTGATAAATGTACCAAAATTTATTCACAAATTCTGTTTATCTCACTTTTACAATTCAAATAACGCCTCTTTTCCTATTTTAAACATTCAAATTCGTTGATTGTTTAACTTCACTTTTAAAATTGCCGCCATATTTGATTTCAATTTGATTGAAACAATTAGAGCTTGCAAACTTTACACCTCTGTTGATTTCAATTTGCCAAGCAGTCTTCTCTTGCATTCTTTTCTTTTCGTACCTGTTTATATTGTATGTATCAGTAAAAGTTCTAATCATGCACACTTGTGTATATGTTTACTCCTTTATTATTATTATTATTCATATCGTTTGATAAATTTATTCTTCTTATCTACGACAATCATTCTGATGATAAGCCGACTAAAGAAAAATCTTTATCCGAAAATCTTCCCAAATACAAAAAAACATATTGCCTAACTTTTATCATCTTCACAGGTAAAATGCAAAATTCTCGTATAGTTTTCAATCAGATTTCTTTTAAAATGAATCTTATACTTTCAAAAGCTGAGGTAATCTTGAGGTCCATAATAATAATCTCCTAACAAGGTTAATGTTAACTACAAATAAAATTTTCATATTTTCCATGAGAAATATAAACCAATTTTTAGTTTATTTTCACAATAAAATACACCAAATGTTCCTCTGCTTCTTTTCCTTCTTCTTCGTCTTCTTCTTTTATTGTTATTGAACTTTGAACTGCCTTCTCGTTTTATTTATGCATTTACTATTTTTTTTCTGCCCCTTTCCTTGTCTCTTTTTCTTTTTTTTGGTTATTCTTTGTTAAAATTTCTGACAAATGAATGAATAATAAGTAATTTAAAAGTGTTCAGTTAACTTTTCTTTTACTTCATTAATATTTATCTAGAATGCTCGTCAACCACGCCTCATGTGGTCCGGGGTTCGATTCCCGGCCGACGCACTCCTTTACCTCGCTACGCCAGTAATAAGACTGGTAAAGATGGAAGGTTGGGCATGAGGCTAGCAAACCCATCCTGTAAAAAAATAAATACCACTGAGACCCCAACTTCAAGCCTCTAGCTTGAAGCTCTGTGTTCCATCGGGAACGCAAAAGATTTTCTTTTAAATGCTTGATTACAGACAGTATGTATCTATAATAAAAGAAATTATTATCGATTAGTAAACACTGAGCAGTTGTGGTTCAGTAGTAGAATGACTATTAGCCTTTTTTGAGGGGGAAGGTCGGGTTTCGATTTCCAGCCGACGCATTTCTAGCCCTCACCTAGCCGATATTAAGTCTAGGAAATAGGGTAGGTTTGGTATGAAGTTTAACAAGTCCAACCCGAGACTTCAAGATTTTGAGGCCTTATCTTTCACTTGTAACGCACTGGGCTTCATAGGCCATAGGAATCAACCAATTTGATAAGCGGCGTTCGTGCCATTATGATTATTAATCGATAATTACTATGATTTAGTTGTTTTCAGACGCTGAGAAGTGATTAGGAGAATTTTGTGAATATGGAATGAGTATAAGCTCCACCTTCAGGTGAACATAGAGAAGACAGAGGTGACGAAGATTCCTGGCCAACTACAACAGCGGCAACAACAGACAACAATCAGCACAAATGAGAAATATCTGATAGAAGCAACCTCCTTTACCTACCTACCTACCTACCCGGGAAGCATCATTTCAACTACAGGTGAACAGAACTGATGAGAATATCATCAAAGCGCGGATTGGGAAATCAAGGAAAGCTTTCATTACTCACGTTAAGTCTGTGTGGAGGTCAGCAGCACTCAGCATGAAAATGAGAATAAGATCCGGATTTTCAACTCCAATGTGAAGTCAGTGCTACTTACTATACGGACAGATCAGAGACTTGCACTGCGCGTCACGAAGGCCACTTCGAACAAACTACACACCTTCATCAACAGCTGTCTTCGCTCAAAACTACTCAAGATCAGATGGCTGGCCGGAAAACAACAGCACCATGGATGAATCTCTGTCAATAAGCGAACCAACCTAACAGGAACCGATTGTGCGACAAATATGCAGGAAGAAAAGGAGGTGGATTGGCTGGCCATACTCTGAGAACACAAACCATCAAGTGAGTGACATCACATGCCAGGCCACCTCTGGAGTGGAACTCGAATGGGAGGCGGTGAGTTGGTCGTCAGTTCGAGGATGACATGGAGGAGGTGATGTGAAGAGGAGATAAAAGTATGTGGGCAGACGTGGAGCCAGGTGGAAAGGTTGGCGGAGAACCGAACGCAATGGAGACGTGCGGCTGAAGCCCTACGTTCTGCTAGGAGCTGAAGGAAACAATAATAATAAGCTCCACAAAAGAGAACTGACAAGTTTATTGTTTATGTTTTTAGATTAATGTAGATTGATTGTCATCATAGGATTTTATCTCGAGAAACAATTTAAGCTATTCAGCTTACTGACTAGATGCATACTCTGATCTATGTATCTTGTTAAGTATTGAAGATCATATTGTGTTAATGCAGAAGGTGTATAACGATCTCTTTAAGACCGAAACCAATTCTGGATTACAGCTTGATTTCTAGGAATGATTCTATAATTAAAATCCACACATTTTTAATAACGTTTAGTGTAATAAGGACTTTTGACAACGGCATATTTGCACCCATGTGCAAATGGATTCTTTCTGTTATTTTTATTAATAGTAAGCACTGAGGAGAGATTTGACGCTAAAGTTGGCTTGGAAATGTTCTCATATAAATAAGTGAATCGTTGAGCATTACTATAGTGATGTCATTTGTTGTGTTTAGAGGGCTCACAGAACTCTGAGTCGCTTAAGAATCACAACAGCAGTATTCATCAGGAAACAAAATAACCACCGCATATGCAAGCCCTTACTATAAAGTCATTTCTTTACAAACCTTTTCACTACATAATTTTCACACTTAGATATGGACATGATATCCTGGTGAAATTAATCAAGTTTACGGGTATGAAATTTCACGAAAAATTGTCCACAACTTCATTAAAAAGTGTTTAAACTTGAGTCATAACAGCAACAAGAAACCATCATCAAGGACTACAAGGAAATTCATTCTACCATATGTGAGGAAAAATATCTCTGAATAACAGCTAGAATATTATATACTAACAGATAAAAGGAACATCAATCGGGTCGCCTATATCACGGTTAAAAGCTGAAGCCGTCATGCAAAGTTTAGAATTAATAACGCTAACTAACTGGGTGCGTTACATTAACGATACATTTATACTAATTAAAAGAAATGATTTGGAATACACACACAAATTAATAAACAACATATTTAAAGACCTTAAATTCGCCACCAGAGACGATATCTTGATCAACAGAACTAACTCAAGTATGTAGCAAATCGACGCACACAGACAAAATACCCAAACGTAATACCAATAATCCAATTATCCACAAGAAACAAACTGTGTGCAGACATTGTTTGAAAGAGTTCTAACATACTGTAGCACTTCAGTGTTGAAGAGAATGGAGGAAAAATACCTAGCAGCAGTCTTCAAAAAGAATGGATATCCTCACAATTTCATTAAAGATTGTTTAAAATTGAGTCAGAACACCATCAAGAAACCATAATCAAAGACTACAAGAAAATTCACCAGTCTACCAAATATAAAGAATATCTCTGAAATAACAGTTAGAATATTAGGCCGTTTGAAATAGATAGAGCAAACAGGCTAGCCAGGCAGCCAGCATAACCACTTCATTCGATATTGTGCAAACCGAATGATCCAACAGAAAAAGAAGAAGATAAAATTAATCCCATTTACAAAAAAGCTGCATGAACTGCAATGAACATTACGTCGATCTAAGTGGGCGTCCCCTTCGAATCAGAATCCAGGAACACAAATTGGCTGTAAAAAGGCATGATATATTTATTCTTTCATGTCAATGCATGTAAGCAATTATGGACACCAACTTGATTGGTTTAATGTGTAAATTTTAAGTATAGGAAACACCAAAAGTGCAGTCAGGAAATTCTCAGAAGCCTAGTACTCAAGTGGATTAGCAATTAACAAACACATTTCTAAAGACTTAATCGACCAGCTAATAAAACGTAAATCACATGACAAGAAAGTTCGAATTCCAAGTCAACAAAAATGATCAGTAGAAACGTAAATTAACAACCAGCCACGACAGTGATTGTCTGTCGGGAGATACAATTACATAACTCATGGAGAATTTAAATAAGTCCATTTTATGCTAAAACCTTCACTGAAGATGTTGTCTAGAAGAGTGACGACGAAGGCTTCGAAATTAAATCAACCAGCTCTTCAAAGAACACAACTAATTCAGTATCATCCACCTGAGCTACAAATCTTCTCCAGTATATTGTTCTTCTTTAAAATTAGCATAACATATATGGATGAAATAAACTGTAGCCAAGCGTTTATATTTGTCATTTATTTTTGTAGAAACGCAGTGACTTTGAAAATAAAATAAATAATAATAAATAAATAATAAAATAAAAATGAAAACTGACGGAACTTGAAGAAGGTCCATCCATAGGAAACCCACATGGAACGGTCAACTGACAAGCTTCTACATCTGGGTACCAATCAGTCAGAAAAGAAACTTAATTAGATCTCTTGTCATTCGCGTTCGACGCATCTGCAGCTCTGACACCATGGAAGAAGAACTAAACTTCCTCAAAGAAACCTTCATACAAAACGGTTACTCATCAAGATTCGTAGACAAAAACATCAAACAAAAAATCCAAAAGCAAGAAACAGCATCTGTGCCAAAAAAGATACTTTATATGAACCTCCGCTTCAAAGGAGACCTACTCAATGACGTCCCTAGA